GTGCTAGGAATACGCGTGCGTCTCACAAACACACGTGTTGTCCCACAAACGCACGTGTTTGCGTATGTTTTAACACATGTCGTCTTGTGGGACCTTAGCAACAATTTCAAAGGGGCGGGGCTTAAAGGAAAGGTCCATTGTCATGATCTTTCATCAGCTATTTTCGGAAACCAGAGATCTAATGTGTGATGTACGGTACCATAGAAAATACAACTTAAAAACATGTCTTTGATGTATTTACTTTACCTGCGTCCACACGCACCTCAGCCCCACCGCAGTTGTGTCTGAGTTGGTGATATTTAGGGAAATTGTACCTCTAGATTGCCGGATATGACTTCTTATAGGCCCTATATAACATTCTTATCGATCTAATTAATCGCTGTGATGTACTATAGAAAATAAAACTTAATTGCCTTTGATGTATTTACTTTATCTACTTCATGTGCCAAAAACCAATTTTATCTTTGCAGGCTTTTCTCATACTTCTCAAATTATAATAAAGGCATGCGCACTCGAATTGTGTATGATAGGTAATTCTGATGTTTGTGGGTAGAGTATACCGTAAATGCTATAAAATAAGATACTCTGGCTGTAGGCCCAACGCGCTCTTTCGTTAAACCTTGGTCTTTTAAACAGTTAATTTCGACATCTTGATTCCAAAAAAGTGAGGGAGATCAACCCTTCTTATTAAAAATATGTGGGGGGGGGTCGTGTTCCCCTTCTGGTGCGCCCATGGGTCCGTGAACAGTCCACATCACCTCAGCCCCAACATGGTTGGAGCTGAGGCGCGAACATTTTTAGAATATGGAGCTCTGGTGCCAGGAAATTGCACTCTCATATCTTAAAAATCTTACCAATAATTCATATCAACAATATAGGCCTAATACAATTATTGTTTGTTATTAATAGAATTTAGGGGGGTGCGGCTGCACCCTCTGCAGCCCACCCCTGCATCCGCCCCAGGCCTCAGGCACTAAAACTACAGTAGAAATAAGTCAATAAAATGTGTTTTAAAACACACATAGGCCTAATATAATATATACAGTATTTAAATCAGATAAGGAGAATCGATTCTCTTTCCTTGACACGCAGAGGTGGTTTTAGAAAATTCCGACCGCGGAACCAAGTGTCCGATTACAGTTAGGTTTCATGGGAAAAATCTCGTCGGAGGCATTTTATTACAAAATGTATTTATTTTATATATTAATAGGTCAGCATACTATGCTACACGGTATACCATTATGTCCTTTATTCTAACACTTATGTTATGTTATAACTACGTGAACAGATTTGCTTTTTACTCTTTTTCTCATGAATAATTAAATTTACGGTGTAAATCGAACACAGCATCGGTACGAGGTACCTCTTTCTTCAAATTGTGTCATCCCTGCACTTTACATAACTTATACTTCATACTCACAATTAAAATTGTCCTTTTGATCCACAATTGTAGTTTTCACAATGGCTGTTTCACCATTAACAACACCTTTGCAGTAGTATACTCCAAAAAAGCCTCCATCAAAGGGTATTTCTGCAGCCTTAGCACCAATACAACCTCCGACATTTACCCCAGATACTTCAGTAAGTGAATCATTACTAGATATATTGAATACCTTTCCAAAGGTTATTGTTGTGTCAATTTCACTTGGGTAACATTGGTACAAGTTGTAATTGGAAAAAGCTGACCTAACATTTTTAATTGTCAAGTGTATATTGGCCGCAAAACCTGTAAAATGATTTTAAGTAAAACGTGCATAAATTTGGTTATAAGAGATTTGAAAATAAACAAAAGGCTACTTCATTGTGGAAAAAGCATCAACTGATTTTAGGCTCCAGTCGTTCCACCTGGCCCGTGACCAGTGGCGGCGCCAGCGGGGGAAGGGGAGTTTAAGCCCCCCACCGGACAGGTCAAGCCCCCCACCCGCCGGACAGAGCTCGTCGGGCAGTCAGACCATAAAACATATAAAAATAGGCCCATACCAAGCCAACACATGTCTGTCACAGCCTGAGAGTGCCATTTTCGGCCATCCAGAGGTTGATATTCTTTCAAAAAAAATCTCATTTGGGAGGGGGAACCTCCTCTCAACCCCTTCCTCCAAGCTCAAGTCCCCCTGTCGGACAACTTAGCCCCCCCCCCACCCGAAAATATATCCTAGAGCCGCTACTGCCGGTAACAACTCGTCTATTCTTTGTTAACTAGCCGTCCGTTGTTATTTAGAGACGTCACCACCTGGATCCGTCGCTGCCAACAAGTTTTTACCTGTAACTTTTCCACCCAAGCAATTTGCACCCGGCATTCCCTTGCCCCCCCCCCCAGCCTTGAATAACTTAGCCTTTTGCCAGTACCCAAGGCCGGTTGTCCCCTTGCTCTGTACTATCTGAAGTCTGGTTGGCTCAGTTTTTAAGACGATCCATACAGACTGCCACCGACAATTAGCAGAGTTGGATTCCTCTGTCGGCGGTCGTACGACCCAGTGTGTGCCCGGCTTAAGTAACTTTGTATATAAATGTGTTGGTTGTAATACGAAATTACAACATTATTGCTTACAACGTTATTTAAAACATTTTGATATAAAATACTTCATAAGGTCAGATTGTACCATGCAGGCTCCATTTACTCAATTGCCCTTTAGAATACCATGGTATATTGCATGTCTATACATTGACTCTATAAACATAATTAAGACAAAATAAAATATTTGTACATAGGCCTATATAATTATAAGTGTAACTTACCATTTTGAATACAGTATATATGACTAAGCAACATAATGAGATTCAGGAAATATGTAGTTTTTAACATCATTACTGTATACCGTATGGAAAATTTGATATACCAAAGGGAAATTACATTGGTTAAAGAAATGGTTGTGTGAACCTCCTTGGGTGAGGCTACTTTATTATTGTTTCCGTTAAGGATCAGTGTAATCCGGCTCGTGTTGTCACAAGGACTTTTAACAGTTAATAAGTATGGACTCGGTGTGCCGGGTTTTCTATTTAAAAACCACTGATTTTGGCTACCTGTAGCCTGCCTATTCTATCCGCAATCTGACAAAAGTAAGAAACGCAAGTCTGGGAATGGTATCAATAGTATCAAGTTTATTTTTACTGTCCTACAAAAAGCAAAGAAAATAATCTGAACAATTTAAGTTGCATAATAGCACACTCAGAACACACTATAACTAATTTACAATTGTCAAATTAACACTTTTGGTACAGTATATTTCATTCGTTAAAACGAACAGAATTAAGGTAAGTTTAAGAAAGAAAGGACAAAAAAAGAGAAAGTTAAGGAAATGAAAATGAAAGTGAAAGAATAAGTTGGCTAAAGAGAGGCAAGGTAAGTAAGGAATGAAATAGAAAAGTTAAAGAAAAAAAAATTAAAGGAAAATGAAAAAAAAAAGATAAAATGAAATAAAATAAAAAAAGAAGGAAAGAAAACAAGAAGGAAGTAAAGAAAATGAAAAGGGAAAATGAAATGAAGAAAAAATAAAAGGCAGGAAAAGGAAGAAAGTAAAAAAAGATTGGATTTTAACAGTACAGTAATCAAAACAAATGAAAGGAAATTATTCAGAGAAAACTATAAAATAATCACAATAAATCGAATTATTTAAAATTATATAATCCTCTAAATGAGTTGTTTGTGATAGAAAATAAGGAAAAAAATATAAAGGAATTTAGGTAGAAAGAAATGAAAAAGGGAAACCAATGGAATGAAATAAGAACGAAAGTAAATTACATTCACAATAAACAAAATTATAATAATTATATAATCCTGCCGCTTATGATGAATCGGGTAAAAATACGTTATTAATTTTAATATTTTAGAGTGCAGTGTTAGCTACATGTTTTAATATAAA